ATGAGTAATCCACAGTTTGCGTAGTTTATGCATTAACCGTTCTAGTTATTAATAATATTATTAATTGTTCCGAATGAGGTACATATCTCTAACAATACATACATACATTCATGTATCGAATTCGCAAATAATTCATTTAACATATCTCTATGAACGTAGTTCCGTCATGCGTCTCTCTATCAGTATCTCTATCAGTACCGGCTCAATATGCCTATTCATGAAGAGACATGGAAGACAAAGGAGGAACAAAAAACGTTCGCTTTCTGTTGGAAATCAACGGGCGTGAACATTGATTGCATGTTCGAATGTTTCATTACAGTCGAACGGCCACACACAGAATATAACATGCAGACTCCGATAACAGCGCGGACCGGAGCGGGAACCGGAGCGCCCGGAGTAGAGAACGCCGAACGCCCGGACTCGTTGCGAGACATAAAAGCTGATACCACCGCGACGCGTAATTGCCGATGTATGCATTTTCGGTTTTTGGCGCTTCGCTGATTCCATTCAGGCCAAATTAAAGTGCGAATTTTATCATAGAACTGTAATAGATACCACATTAAATGATTTAGGTATTTGTGGTTAATGAGAATTGCACATTTATTTTTGAAATGGATAACTTTTCATCATTTTCAGAAACTATACGTGGTTGCGCCAGAGCGACGATTGATGGATCTAGTATATATTTTAATTATCAAAGTCGGGCAATACTAAATCTCTGGCAATTACAGAAAGATATAATGTAGCTGTAACATAGACCTTACACTTGTAGAGTAAGGTCAATGAGCTATAAGTTTTAATAATTTCGATATGTTGATTCTTGTTAAATATTGTTGCAAAAATAATGTTGCAACCACCGATAACACAAAAAAACATGAAGGGTTCTCTCTGCTGCTAACAAAATATGGAATCCTCTGTCACCAAATTTCTGTGGAAACAATGACCAGTATAGACAGAAAAAACCTTGGATATGATTACGTATCTCATTATTAATTTAAACTTCATAAAACTGATTTACATAATAGAACTTCTGAATTACAAATTTATTATTGTTTTTTTTTTCGTGTGAGGCAACCACCAATAACACAACTAAATAAAGGGTTCTCTCTGCTGCTAACAAATATGGAATCGGCTGTCACCAAATTTCTGTGGAAACAATGACCAGTATAGACAGAAAAAATCTTGGATATGATTACTTATCTCATTATTAGTTAACGCTTCACAAAACTGATTTACATAATAGAACTTTTGAATTACAAATTTATTATTGTTTTTTTTTTTCGTGTGAGGTTCGTTTTGGTATTTTTTGACTGTAGTATTTTTCGAGAGATACCTATTTTGCTTGGAATAAATCCTTCAAATAATTTCAACTTGTGTTCCTTATTGTGTTTGGAGTGTTCAAAATCCGAGTGAGCTAAAAGTTCCAGACTTCAAGCAACTACCGACTGGAAATGTACATGCTTCGGGTAAATTTTTTGTCCACGACTTCGAGAGCACGGATTAACTAATTTGAATGATTCGTACCAATAATTTTTGAAAAGGACGGGTCTAGCTGTTCCGGGAATACAATGCAAAAATTACTAAAAATAGCAGTTTTTGAGAGAATGTAGCACCCGATTTGAATGATTCTAACTTCATTTTATTTGTATTAAATTAAAAATCGATTAAATCTATGCGAAGGCCACCAAAATTGACTTTTGATGGTTTGAAATTACATTACAAATCATTATTATTGATGCATATGCATGTAGAAATACTAATACTCAGATGGCAGGTAGACAGGTGAACAGGTGAACAGACAGACTGATAATCAAGTATAGAAATATAAAGGTAGACATATAGAAAGGTAGAGAAGTAGATAAGTATATTAGTATAAATAAGTTGATTAACTAATTTGAATGATTCGTGCCAATAATTTTTGCAAAGGACAGGTCTAACTGTTCTGGCGATACAAAGCAAACATTGCTAAAATGGCGGTTTTTGAGAAAACGTAGCATCCGATTCGAATGATAAAACATCATTTTATTTCCATTGACGGAGTGAAAAATCGATAAAATTTTTGCGAAGGCCATCAAAATCGATTGATGGTCTGAAATAATCATTACAAATCATTATTATTAATACTCAGATGGCAGATATACAGGCGAACAGGTAAATCGGTAGACAGATAATCAAGTATAGAAATCGAAAGGTAGAAATGTAGAAAGATTGAGAAGTTGATAAATAGGCAAGTCGACTAGCAGGCAGAGAGATAGGTGAATAGGTAGAAAATTAGACTGGTAAATGGGCGGACCAGTAGGCAGGTATAAAAGTAGACCAGACGAAACTTAGACAGGTAGTCATATAGGCATTAGTCCAGGTAAAAAAAAATAGGTTCTCAAACAGATAGATCATTAACAAGTCAAATAATTATTGATTTACTTGATTATTTACACTTATCGGTAGTAACTTATCTCGATTAATGCTTTTTAGTTTTTGGGACTGGTAATATCTAGAATGGTAATGTTTAGAAGTATGAATAATCCAAAATACTGCGTAGTACGTATACAAACCGTTAGTAATACTGAATATGATCGATGCACTTGGTCTCTAACAAACTCTATTAGTTAATACTTGAATAAGTTACACTACTATTATAAATACAAGTAAATCAATAGCAAATTAAAACATTATAGAAGAACTACATATATTATATAATAATTTTATTTTTCAGTGAGTTTTTATTATATGATATATTAAATTTTAATCTAACACGCGTTATTTAATAAATACAAACAAAATAATAACCAACACCTGTACATTCAATTTAAACTTTTTCACTTGTCGCAATTTCAAACGTATTAAAGCAACGGCTGAAGATTAAGTTAACAATACGTATTTATACGGATGCCTCCCGCTGGCGTTGGTGTACGTGAAATTAGCTTCTCTCTCGTCTAAAGCACGCCAAATATACTTACAAGTAACGCAGTTACATGCACACATGTATTACCGGCAAGAGAGGAAGTTCAAAGCATCGATAGAAATTAATTCCATGTCATGTTCTGCGTCTCGCAATTTAATGATCTGAAGATATTCCGAACTCGTCTGTGCGAGCACAAGAAAATGAGAGAACGACGACGTCTTAGAAAGATATCCCTCCGACTCCGACTACGTATTGCCATACACGTTCATTGTACGTGGAATTGGTTATAATTAATCACATTCAATTAACAACGCGACATACGCCTCGTCAGCTCTTGATTATGGGCTTTGGCTTGTTTGTTTGGCGATTGCATCGAGGATTATTACATCAATTTTTAGTTGTATACAATAATTTATTCGAACGACGTTTACTTATTATAATCTTGCTGCAGAAAGGATTGCATCAATTTTGCTCTTATATTTCAGATAATTTTGAATATAAGCTATTGGGGCGCATGGCATCGTGCCTTAAGGCAAATTGCTGGAACATTTCGTACCACAATTAAAAATAATCTCAAATAGATTATTTATTACAAATTCATAAACTTATAAGTGCTTTTTAAATTAGGCGACGAGCATATTCTACAAACAACTTTGTGTATGTTTATAAAAAATTTGTTTTTTTTTGATAATTTAGCTTTTTTTTTGAAGATTTTCAAAATTACGAAATTTTCTGTAAAAGCATTTTTTGCACACGGTCTACGCGAGCAAAATGTTTTTTGAATTAATTTGATCCGATGATCCATTCTCTCAAGAACTGAGTTACCATTTTTGGCTCTTCTTACCCTTTATCTTTGAAACGGCTAGACCTGCCTATATCTAAAAACTAATCAGCATTGTCTACTTATCAATACGAATCGAATGTTTTTTTTAATTATACAAACCGGTTATATTCCATACTGTCGAAAATGTCGAGGACATTTGTTTGAAACAAATAAGTGAATTTTAAAATTGAAAATCTTGTTACGGAACCCAAAAAATGTACACATAATATGTACACATTATTAAAATCTCTATAAAATATCTGATAATTTGATGTACATATATCCAATGAACATTTTTGACCGCCAAATGGCATTTTTTTAACTTATTTTTATTAAGAGTTTGTAACCGCTAGACCTGCCTTCCCAAAAATTTAATCAGTTCTTCATCGTATCGATCCAAGCAAAATGTTTTTTGAATTATTAAAATCGAACGCTCGGTTCTCTTAAGAATTGAGTTACCGTTTTTGGCATTTTTTGGCCCGTATTTTCGGTACGGCTAGACCTGCCTTCACCAGATACTAATCATCACGTCTCCATATCAATTCAAATCAAATGTTTTTTGAATTATTCAAATTGGTTGATTGGTTTTTCCGAAATCGTCGACGAAAACTTGTATCCGCACACACACACACATACATCCATTTTTTCTAAGGTTTGCCAAGATGTTCGGAATCCTTTGAAACGTAAAAATATATAAAAATTTTCATTCTCGATTTTTTTGCGATTACTATAACTTACCTTAAGGGAAGTTAACAACTTCAAGTCAATATATAATATTATATTCTAAATATATAATATATATATATATTATATATTCTGGAGAATAATTTATTCAAAAGTTGTGTTAGTAAAGAATCTTCATCAAGATTTCTGGACGATTACAATAGTTTACCCTACGAGAAGTTAACAAAGAAAAATCTATAAAATTCACACAAACAGTATAAATTATATTTAAGTACAAACATGTTATCTAAATCAATAAATCTATCAAATTTGATGAATATTTACTATCTCTAAAATCACCCAATTATCTATTACGCCATCAAAAATACATCCATAAATAAATTTCTATTCGAGCATTTCGAAATACGGATTTTGTAAAAACGCTAGAGGGTATTGCAAGCTAAATTTATCAAAAATTCCACGAATGTAGAAATTCAAAAACATACTTTCTCCACACTGTCCCTTCCAGACATTTTAATTTTGATTGATATAAATATTGTACCAAATATCATACAGACATCATTGTTTACTGATAAGTCAAATAAATCAGAAATGGCTCATTTAATCGCTGTATTCCTGGCTACAATCGCTGTAGCAAATGCTGGTTTCATCGACGCACCAGGACACTTGGCTTACACTGGAGATTATTATGATTTAGCAGGGTTGGGTAGAAATTTCTATGCCGGACCTGCACCAACTTATGGTCTTCCTGTAGTAAAAAGCCCGTCAAAAACTGTGGATTATTCTTCGACTACAGTGCATCCAGTGCCAACTCCTATTTTCAACTATGCACCAATCCAGGCGACATATGGAGCACCTGCTCAAACTTATGGGGCTCCTTTGAGTATTCAAACACATGTATTAGGTAAACCGATTGTGTCCAAGAATTTCCAATACGCCACATCGACAGCCCATCCTGTACCAGCTCCAGTAATCAGCTACTCACCAATTCAAACAACTTATGGAGTACCAGCCCAAACTTACTCAGCACCAGTGTTCCCAAAACCGATCATTTCCAAGAACTTTGCATACTCTTCAGCAGCTTTCCACCCTGTCGAGGCACCAGTCTTCAGCTACTCTCCAATCCAATCAACTTATGGAGTACCCGAAGTGAGTTATGAAGCACCTTTCACGACACAAGTTTCTTTCGAGGCACCAGTTAATGTACCAGCATCTTATGGACCACCTGCTGAAACCCCAAACACACCAACAACCTTACCAGCTGTACCAGAGACAACATCGAAACCAGAAACTTTACCAGCTGTACCAGCCTTCAGCGCACCTTACCCATAATAATTAAGTAAATAGTTATGTACCACCTTTGTGTATGAATAGAAATAATGATAATGTGTAGAATCCACTGTCTATAGTATAATAGGAGCGCCAATCAGTTTTGGCAAACAAGCTCTTTTTTTCTCTTTTTTTAATAACAATCAGAACATTAGTTATATTCTATGAGCTATTTGGTTGGCAATAATGAAATATATTTATATATAGTAGTTACCTCAGTGGGTATGTACTATTTGATGCAGTTCTACTAGATTAAGTTATTTGTCTTCTCGGTTGTTGTGTATGGAACAACGGAGCAACGAGTGAATTTGGGTGATTTTCAAATTTTTTCTAGAATCATTTTCTTGTTAATGTAATAAGATCTTTTTTTTTTTTTTGAATTTGCATTCTAAAATTGCAAATACTTTTATCGGATAAATCGATTTTCTGTATTACTTTAGTTTCATGTACTAAATGGTTTTAAATATAAGGTTTTTTTTTATATCGCAAGAAGTCATATCATGCTACTTGTTTTAGGAAATTCAGAATTTAAAATTCTTGAAAGAAAACGAGAGTTACTTCCATAGTATTTTCAAATTTTTATAGAACTGCTTTAAATCTCACATTCAGTTTCATCTCACATACACCACAGTTTCATACTGGTACGCAGATAATGATGAAAAAACAGAATTATTTGAAATTACGGACATTAATAAAATTCTAATAAAAATAAAATAAATTTAATTATTGCCTATTGAATATTCATATAATAATCGGAACTATACTTTTGAGATGTAACTGTATTTATGATTCCCAATCTTCCCCAGGATCAAATTCAATGAATCTTATTCTAAAATAGAAATCTCATCATTTTCGTTTTTTTTGATAATCAATTTAACTTCTAGGCATATATTTTTCTATCTAAAATCAAATCACTTCGTGTTAAATAGAAAATTGAGATTTCAAATTATCTCTAGATATTGTATTGCTCTGCACGTTCATCGTACGTGGAATTAGTCATAATTAATCACATTCAATTAGCATATGCTTTACCTTGTCTTGAACAGAGGCTTTTCCTATTACTTTGATGACTTCTGTGAGAATTATACTATCAATTTGTACGTTAATTTATTTAAAGAATTACTTATATTGAAGAATTAAATTTACTAAGAACAACACTTTATCTCTTACACTATGTTAAATATGAGAAAGATAAAATCAGAGCTGCTAGAAAAAAACTACCATAAAAGATTTCGGAAATTTGATTCAACCATTAATAAATTTAACTTAAATTATATACAGCAGCTCATTATTATATTATATTTTTACGGTTAGTATACGACGTATACAGGATGATTATATATGAAATGAAATTACTATTGTGTATTTTTGTTAGATTTATTTATTTTTCAAATATGACCTTTATCTTAAACAAGGCTGAATAATTTTGTAATTTGTGGTCATTTTTAATCTCAGGTTCAACCGCGTATAAATTATTTTCCTATTTTACAACTTGATTATTAGCACGGTGGAACCTGGTCGATATCTTTCATAATTATAGATTTTACAAAGTGGTTTGGTACCTAAAATGAAAGTTTGTCTGAGCAATAAATACATTTATATATTAGTTAATTAATTAATTAATAAGTAAAGACATTTGATTAAATCATCTTTAATTCTTATTATTGTTGAAATAAATATTCATTTTCACAAGTATGTAATCTTGAACTTGTTAATATACTTTAATTTCAAGTAGCTTTTTCGTGGTTATGCTTTAATAGCATTAGTCTTGAAACCGTACATAATTTGATATGAAGCAGACAGAAGTTTTACATCAAGGTTCTTGTACAAAAAATTAAAGTTAAAGAAGCATTGCTGAATGTTGATATAAGTTGCAAACCTGAATATTTCGCTGATTTCAAATTACTCAATTTTTAAAATTAGTTAAAGTTACTTAACCTCAGTAAAATTCGAGAGATTCAGAATATATAAGAATATTCTTCAGGATCATCGTTGTCTATTCTATGGGCATTCCAGAACTTATTGTAATCGCCTGTATGCTTGTTTGAAGTGTGGTGATGGTCATTCTGCGTCATTATGTAAAATAACGTATGTCCAGCCTGCAAACTATGAGTCATGTAAATTTTACCCCAAACATAAAAACATTGAGACATGTAATCTCAATTATTGTGTTTCTGGATGGTTGTTTCTAATTCGCAAAGTAATTTTTGCTGTTTGAAAATTAATATCTTAATATTAATATTAATATTAATAATTTCATAAAGTCTAAGAATAGAATTGTTTTTTGCAATCCTTCAATTCAAAACAATATCAATTAAAACTATTTATATTATGCATTTGCAGAAAACTATTGTAATATATCAAGTTTTCTCTATTGTATGAGCAAAACATAAAATTTATAAATTCAATATTACATGCATGTTTTTTGAAAATATCCAAAAATATAATAATGAAAATATACAATAAAATTTGCTAAACAAAAGTTTCATGTTTCGAGTGAGAAATGCAATAACCGCTTCAGATCTTTCAATATTGCGACCGAGCGATAGGATACGCATAGCAGTGTAGCATCAGGCCACAAAAGAGAATGTTTGAACCCAAAAAATAGAGTTGTGAAAAACGACATATAAAATGGTTTAGATACGTTAAAATGCATTTCTACTCGTATGTAGATAGTTTTCGAGCTAACGCATATCGTCTGCTTTCGATTGCGAATGATTTTCATCTGGTCCTTTTGGTGAATATGCACCATTGCTATGGACGAAGTATGTTCCGAGGATTGACATGAGGAATACGCTTGCAAACATTGCAAATTGGATTTTTTTTTACAAATTTCTCGGATTTTTATGATTTGCAATAACTACAGGTAGGCATATCAATACCTGCGCCAAACAAAGTTGATTTATAGTAAAGGCAAGAAAGTGGGAATTTGAAGATTTCCGTATGTCCTAATATAATAGACTTTTGATCATGTGGATAGAAAATTTATTCTACATATTATAAGCGTTCAAATTTCCATGGGTAAAAAGGTTTACCGCCATTATCTCAAAAACAACTAAAGTATAGAAATGTTTAACGTAACGATTTTAAAGCAGAAGGCAAAATATGTAACCGCCTTAATTTTTACGGCCTTATCAGAAGATGAATTTTGTTTTTAAGCTATTTTGTTAATGATACCTGAATATATTTTTAAGTATATGTTATTTAATTGTTTTAGTTTTTTTGTTATTTTAAAGCTAGATTTTACAGTTATTTATATCATTTCTATAGAAGTATACGTGTGATTGGGGTACAAAAAAGACCAACGGTAAATAATAAGTAAATTATAATTGAAAAAGTAAATTAAGTTAAAAATAACAATTTTACAAGACATGAAATAATAATATTTTCATCTATTTAAACTTTGTTTGAACAAACCTGTTAAAATACCAGATCTAGGTTATATATATATATATATTTATATATATATATATATATATATAAAAATACAGTGACTTTTGTAAAAATATGTCTATGTAGTTCATATTTTGCATTGGTTGAATAATGTAGCAATGTAAATGTAGTAATGTATTTTTTTAACTTACCGTAGGGCAAGTTATAGTAATCGCAAAAAAAATCGAAAATGAAAATTTTTATAGATATTTACGTTTCAAAACCTTCTGAACATTTTGGCATACCTTATGTATGTGTGTATGTGTGTGTGTGTGCGTGTATGTATGTATGTTCGGATACAAATTTTCGTCTATGTCGACGATTTGGGGAACACGGATCAACCGATCTGAATAATTCAAAAAGCATTCGATTCGTATTGATAAGGAGACGTGCTGATTAGTATTTGGCAAAAGCAGGTCTAGCCGTTGCGAAGATACAGGGCAAAAAGTGCCGAAAACGGTAACTCAGTTTTTAAGAGAACGGAGGGTCCGATTTGAATAATTCAAAAAATATTTTATTTGTATTGACTAAATTAAAATCTTTTCAAATTATTGGAAATACAGGTCCAACGACTTTGGAGATATGGAGGAAAAAGTAAAAAAATGAGTCATTTGGCGGTCAAAATGAACATTAGACATATGCACATTAAATTATCAGATATTTTATAGAGATTTTAAGAATAAGTATAAATTCTGTTTACATTCCTGTGGGTTCCGTACTAATGTTTACGCGTTAGACGGCGACGCAGCGCTTACGCACTTTGATATTTCGTCTCTATGCAGTTAAAGCAGTACGATTGCTTTGAAAAAAAGTTCAGAATTTCCAAAATATTTCAAAATAAATGATTTAAGATAGAATGATTTAATATTGTTCGAAATTCTATAAAAAGTTTCAAATCATTGATCAATTTTTATTGATTATTTTTAATTACTCGAATTTTGAATTACGATACGGAAAGTTCCAGTGATTTGCCTGAGGCACGATGCCCTAATTGCCTTAAGACAAAATTCCACTTACAGTTATTTAAATTAATAATAAGACATTTGATTTGTGCATTGGATATGTGTTACATTTCATGTTGTAGTTCTTTTGGTTTAGACAGTAAAATTGGCTTAAAGTCAATTTGCGTCTTTGTGCCCCGCACTACCTTACATGTTTAAAATATGTAATATATTGAATCAGCGATAGTATGCGAAACAATTCATTTTATTGTTTTTGCGAGAGAAAACAGAGTTTTTTTTTCTGTTGATCATCTTACTTGTTTTAATTCTTAAACTAGGTTAGTAATATTTGCCTTTTTTGTTCAATTATTTATTCTTAATCGTCTATATTTTTTATGAAACCTTACAACTCAATATGATTTATACAAAGAAAAAGTTTTGTCTTACAAAAAGAAAAAAAATTCAAGCATATTTTCGATCTATTATCGACTTGTTGGACTCACAAAATAATTTTAGAGTATTTCACATATTTTTATGGTATTTTTCACTTTTAGTATCAAAGTCCACGTAGTTTATGCTTAATTGCTGAATTATGACATATATATCAATATTGTAATGAAGGTACAGAAA